GTAAAGATTTGTTCCCTCTTTTGAGCTACTGCATCCATATGTATAGGTCAAGTTCACCACCTGTCTTTAGTCTTCTCTTAATCTGGATAAAAGAGTGCAGGCTTTGGAAAGACCCAAACCTCTGTCAAAAACATTCACTGGTGGACCTCAGACAAAGTACTCAAAACCTCTGAGCCCAGTGTCCTTGTGCTTTAAAAGACAGGTTGAGAAGACATGTCTTAGAAGAATGTTTGCAGGCTAAATATGATTGTAATAATGGCCAAGGTGATCTATGTAAACACTTAATATATCTTTTTATCGTTTTAGCTTCTTATCTTATTTCATTTTGTTCTTGTTGAGAATATACACAGCAAAGCATACACCCATTCAGCGGTTTGTACATGTGCAATTCAATGACACTGAGGACAGTCTTAAAGCTGGGCAACCATTCTCACCCTCCTCTTTCCTTCTGTTATTGAAACTTGTTTTTGTGAATTGAGTGAAGGTTTACAGAACAGATCATCAGTTTTTCAGTCAAGAAATTATCCACTTCATTTCATCTCAGTGATTGCAATGCCCTCAATGTAACGTCATCCACCCCACTTCCTCCCTGTGGTTCTTGTTTCCTGTCCTTTCCCAACCCTTCGGAATTCTGGCTTTCAGTAAATTCTGCCCTTTGATCTCTAATGGTTGACAATTCTCTGGTATGAATAGATTTCCATTGTCCCTGTATACCTTTCTGGAGTCCTTGGTGTGATGCTGTAAGATAAGCATTAGACTGTTAACCACAAGATCAGTGCTTCAAACCCAACAGCTGCTTCTTAGAAATCCTATACAGGGTCACTATGAGTCGGAACCAACTCAACGGCACTTAACAACACCATATACCTATCTATCACTTGACTGAAAATTGAGCCATGGGGGTGACCCTGAGGCTAGAAGCACTAGATGGTACCCAGCTACCACTAACATCTGCTCCGAAATGGATCTTAGATAGAGTGAGAGGAAATGTGGCACCAAGCTCAGAATCATAAAAAAGACCAGGCTTACTGGTCAGAGGGAGACTGGTGGAACCCAAACCTTTGGTTACCTTTCAGATCTGGAACTGAACACAATATAATTTTATCAATTGAGTTGGCCTCATGGTGACCCTATGCATGTCAGAGTAGAACTATATTCCATAGGGTTTTCAATGACTGGTTTTTTAGAGATAGATAGCCAGGCCTTTCTTCCAAGCTACCTCTGGATGGACTTGAACCTCCAACCTTTCTGTTTACAACTGAGCACATTAACCATTTGCGCCACTCGTGGTGATGTGGTGGTGGTGCTGGTGTGTGGTCAAGTTGATTTTCAAGGCTGTAAATCTTTATGGAAACAGAAAGCCTCATCTTTCCTCCATAGAGCAATTGGTAGATTTGGACTGCTCATCTTGTTAGCAGCCCAACTCGTGACCCATTATGCTACTAGTGCACCACCCATGTTGTTGTTGTTGTTAAGTGCTGTCGAGTCGGTTCCAACCCATAGCGACTCTGTATAGGATTTCTGAGGAGTGACTGGTGAGTTTGAACCACCGACCTTGTGGTTCAAACCTACTTTGCAGTCCAGTGTATGAACCCACAGCACCACACCAGACTTCACTTTATATATAGCAGATATTCAATTATTTTAGTTGCTTTCATTATTACTCTTATTACTATGATGATTTAAACATTTTTATTGCTACTTTCTCTCTGGTTTTCAGATCTATTTTTGAAACAAGCACATCTCTCCCTGCTTCTTCTCTCTGGCTCCTCTGGTTCAGACCGTGAGCCCACTGTTTCCTAGACGACAGTTTGCAGCCCCGGGGGCAGGCAGAGCCAGAGAGCATTGACTGCCCCAGAGTTATTAATGTGCCTGATGCCACTGACTACAGGTCAAGTCACGTCTTGAGCTTTTGTCCCTGCAACCCTGGAGCCTCACAGGAGCTCACATCACCGGGCTGTGGACTATGAGGGGAAGCACAGTGCCCATGCAGGGAGCACCCTGCCAGCCTGCCCCCTCATGTAGGACACTCAAGGTCAATGGCCTCTTTCTCAGCCTCTGAACCCACATATTCAAAGTCCTCCATCCAGAAACCCATTTTAAAACCTGCAAAGTCTGGGCTGCTCAGTCCCAGCAGGCATGTGAACCTGAGCATTACCTCTGATCCCATTCAAACTCAGATCTGCAGGAACAGAGGGTGCTCCTTAAACTAAGGCTGGAACCCATGAGTCCTATGATGTTTTTTTCTGACATTCTCTTTGAGGCATGGCTGACTCGTATTCTCAGAAACTCACTCTCCATTCTCTTTTGACCTTTATCATTGATTTTTAAGCCTATTTACATCTTGACTCTGCCATTTATTAGCAATGTGGTCCTCAACAGTTATGCTGCTCCCTTGAACTTCATCTTCTTTCTCTGACTATGTTGCTGCAATGCTGAACAGGTTTCAGCGGAATTTCTAAACTAATACATACTAGGAAGAAAGGCCTGGTGATCTCCTTCCAAAAACCAGCCGTTAAAAACCCTCTGGGCAACAAAGGCTCCATCTGCAACTGATAATGAAGATGATACCAGAGCATTTAATTCCATTACACATGGGGTCTCCATGAGTGGGGCTGATTGATGGCAGTTAATAATAACAAATGAGCTGATACTTGTGCCAACACCTGGTTCACAGGCAGTGACCGGCCAGCGAATCACGATCAGCCCTTTCCACGATGAGGTCCAAATGAGGCCCAGCAAAGACTTCCATACACCACAGCTCTCAAAATAACCCTTGTCTCCTTCCCTGCTTTTTTCCACAGGGATGAATAACTGCAGTTTTCACATTTGCAGGCATTACAGATCTCTTTGGTCATGAAGCCAGCCCTGAATATTGTATTCCCAGACATCTGAGCCTCATACTTATAGTTGGAAATTTGCCTGTCTCAGGAGTTGTGTTTCCTGTGTATTATATTCCCATTCCAATGTCCTTCCTCTTGTAAAACAAATTAATGGTCTTCTAACATCTGGTTAGCTTGTTACCCACTCTGACCTCTGGATTTTTATCATCACACTTACACTTAGCAGGAAGTCCTTCTGAAACTCTTACCATTTGGCCTAGTGCTTTTTTCTCAAAGACCTTGCATATTTGTACAGCTTTATTAAACTTCCCACAGGAGAAAATTGTGGCAGTCTGCTTCTGTCTTCCAAGTTCTAGTCTTGGAAACCTTATGGGGCCCTTCTAGTCTGTCCTATTAGGGCCACTATGAGTCAGAACTGACTCAGCAGCAGTGGGTTCGGGCTATGAAACATTTGAAAGCACTCTCCTATACTTTGTCTCATTTGATTCTTACAGGTGGCATTACTGATTTTACTGTTTAGAAAACGGAGGCTCCGAGCTGGATTTTGAACAGATCCTATAACTGCCTGATGTTCTCTGGTTTTCTCTTTATGTTCTCTTCTCAGGCTTTCTGAATTTATATTCTACAAAGACTCGGTCTCTCCTTCCTCCACCAACCTTGTGATTATTTGCCCATTTGTTGCTCCTGCTCACTCATCCCTTCGTTCGCTTCTGCCCCCTGTTCTGCCTCTTGAACCCTGGTGAATAGTTGGTGTATCTTTGCTGAGAGTACCTGTCTGCTTGACCAGGACCAGGGCACTGGGCCCTGAAGGTCAGCTGCACTCCCTGCCCAACTCTCAGGGCTCACTTTCACTGACCACTAATGACTGAGTTGTTCAGAAGAGACCCAAAACCATGCCAGATAACACATTAGTGAGTATCCATCACATTTTCTGGGTCATAAAGTTGTTTTATATCATCATGATGAATAAGATGTATATAATATTCAGAAGCCATCCAAAAGCAAATTGGATGCAAGGTCCCTCCCTCCCCCTCTTTGTGGTTCATTCCTAGCCCTCCTGCATTAGTGCTGCCTCTACTGCCCCCAGCCCTGACCCAGGAGAGAGCCAATATATGCCTATTAGATTGAATGGAATTGTACCTAAGAGACTGGGGTTCCTGGACCAGTCATCCTACTCCTCTGTCTTGGAGAAGTCCCCACTCTGATTTGGGATGGGAGTAGAAATTAAAGGTGGCAACTTTGATCTTTGGACAGCATTTCCAATCAGAACTTAAAACCACATCTCGATGTTATTTACCATGATAGGAAAAAATATCCTTGACTGAATCCTTGAGAAACACTGGGAATCACCCTTCCTCTATCTTCTATCCTGACTGGGGATTAGTCTCAAATTAAATAGAGCTTTTGATGGGTTTTCCAAAGAGCAATATCGTTTGGAGATCCAGTTTTGATTAATTTTCAAAGTCTTAAAAGTAAGTCTCTTGCTGAACATCTTTGAAATATAAAATCAATTTTAAACAGACACACCTATATTGAATATTCTCTATGTGAAAGACAGGTATTAAGAAATATCCACCATTCATCCATACCTTTTGAACTGCACAATTCCTTACCTTTTGAGCATAAGAAAACTAGCTTCAGATATATTGCATCCATTACAACCACTTTGTAACTCTACAGTATTATGCGGTCTAGAAAAATATCACCAAATCTACTTTGCGTGGAAGGAGACCAAGACCCTGTGGGCAGAATCTTTGTCTCTAAGTCACACCCATTAATCATATGGTAATTCTGGGATTAGACTTCAGGTTCTTTTACTTCAAATCCAGTGTACTTTCCATTGCTTCTTTCTGTTTTCCTGCCATCCCAAGTACGACAATAGGAAACATTATTCTACCATGAAAATAGTTTCAGACCAAACATAATCCCTCGATCATTTCTTTGTTTACAAGTTTTCTTTGAGCCCACAAATATTAATCACTCTTTCAGTAAATATATATATATATATTTTTAGCAACTGCCAGATCCATACCAGAATCAAGTAAAACTTCTTCCACAGAGCCAGAATGGGTGCTTCGGACTTGAAACCCACCATTACTCTGTGCCAACTAGCCAGCAGGCCCCCACACCCAGCCCAGACTGCTGCGCTCCACTCACCTGCCTGTGTGGTCTGTGTCTGCTCACTGAATAAGGGGGACTCTTGTCCTCTTTAAATATAAGGAGGCTGTCACCAGGCTTGGCCTCTGGAGGGGAGGGCAGGAGGGAGGCTGAGGGGAGAGGGTGAATGAGACATGAACAACACAACTGCTATCAGAGGCTGAAAATAGACTGTGACCAAGGTCCTGAGTTTTGTCCGCCGTCCCCCCACACCCCCATGCCAGCTGTGAGGCCCTTGGAGAACAATATCACTTGGGTTCTATTTTAATTGCCTATGGCACCGAGGGATCAATTTGTGGAGCGTAGGAAATTCCTGATCAAGTAGTTGGAATGGAAGCAAAGCCAAGACAGACTTTATATTTGAAACCATTTCTTCAGACCCCCTCCCCCATGGTCTTTCTGGAAATCAATGCAAGGAACTTGCAGATGAATCATGAGCCATATCTGGGAGGTCTTGGGAACTCCAAGACATAGGTCTCCTCACATGTGAAGAGAACTCAGAGCTAAAAATAAGAGTGATGGGTGTCTGAAACCATACTTAGATAATCTCTTTAAATTGCTTGGGGGAAAAGGTCAGTTAATCACCATGGCTCTGTCACTCCAGGGCCCACTATCCCATGAAGACAAGGTTCTTCCAAAATCAAGGTTTTGCCTTACATTGTTTGTTCTTCGTCTCTTTCTACTTAAGCATTTGACGTGGCAGTGTGTAGGATTTATGATGAATCTTGATCCTTCTTGGTAGCCCCACATTTTCTCTGTAGGTTTGAGTTTTCTTTGAATGGCATGTACACATTTTGGCTTTGATCAAGTTTCATGGATTCATACAAATTACACAATTTCATACCTGACAAGAAGGTCAGAGGTTAATAGACTGATTCTTCATGTCACATTTGAGGAAATCTAGACACCTAACTTGGCCAAGACCACATCATGAGTTATTGGCAGCTCTAGATTGAAGTTCAGGTCATCTGTCTCCCAGACAAAGTCACCCTCCTTAGTGTTGACCTGTGTGTTAAAGTTGGTTCATAAACTAACCAAGAGGTTTATGAAACCCAGACTTTCAAATTTGTTAACCCAGCAGTGCAAGCCCACAAAGCAATTGATTGAGAGTATTAGAATTTCACTGAAAACAGGGCTGTGGTGATTTCACAAAAATGGTTACAGCCCAGCTTTACATGAGATATGTTTGGTCTATGTTTTCATGCAAAAACATGTTCATCAGAGAAATAGGACAATGATGAGAACCACAGAATGTCAAAACTACAAGGGGTTTAAGATGTCTACTAGGACAGTGGCTTAACTTTGTTGCTGTTAAGTGCCATTGAGTCGATTCTGACCTATAGCTACTCTATATAGGGTTTCTGAGTTTGAACCACCGACCTGACCTTGCAGTTCAAAACAACCTTATGGTTGAGTGCTTATTCTACAGTGCCACACCAGGACTCACATCTGCTTGTGAGTCTTTCTACCTTCTGGAGTCCCTCAGCCAGAACCAAACCTGTTGCTGTTGAATGAATTCCAACTTATATCAACCTTACAGAACAGAGGAGAACTGCCCCACAGGGTTTCCAAGGTTGTAAATCTTTATGGACGCAAACAACCACATCTTTCTCACTGAGAGGCTAGTGGGTTCAACTCACTGGTTAGAAGCTGAGCGCTTGCTTAACCACTGTGCTACCAGGGTTCCTTTGGAAGACACTGTTGTTAGATACCATCGGGTTGGTTGTACAACAGAACAAAATATTGTTTAGTCCTGCACTGTCCTCACAATCATTCCTGTGTTTGAGTCCATTGTTGCAGCCTTGATCTTGTTAAAGATTTCCCTCTTTTTAGTTTCCCTCTACTTTACCAAGCAGGTTGTCCCTCTCCAGGGACTGGTCCTTCCTAACAACATGTCCAAAGTATGTGAGATGAAGTCTCTCCATCCTTGTTTGTAAGAAACATTCCGACTATATTTATTCCAACACAAAATTATTAGTTCTGGCAGTCTGTGGTATATTCAGTGTTCTTCCCCAACACCATGACTCAAAGGCATCTATTATTTGGTCTATCTCATTCATTGTCTTATTCATTGTCTAGCTTTTGAGTTCATATGAAGAAGTCACTAGTTATGAGGACTTTCTCTGACTTTCTGGCCCCTTAGCTTGGAGTCATACTAGTCACAAGTGGGGAAAGTCAAGGAATGCTATTGGCCCAAAAGATCTGGATCGAGTATTTTATTCATCACTTTTAATTGCCCAGAGCCCCTTCCCACATTCCTGTGAACTGACTCAGAGTTTGGAATGTTTCTAATGTCTCTTCCTTCACAGCAACACTCTGCTATTTGTGTTGTGTGTTGTGGTCCTTCAGACTACACTCTCTGTAAATTGAAGTCTTTCTGCTTTCCCTCTGGAATTTTTCAAAGTTTCTGACTTGCTGATGAGTATGCCTTTCTTTTGCTTTAACATGTTGTTTTTGACTTACTGTCCTTTAAACATCTTTCTTCAATTCTGTGGTTCCTCGGCAATCTCTGTTGTTGGTAAGATACCGTTGAGTTGGTTACGACTCCTAGTGGACCTGTGTAGGGTTTCCGAGGGTTTTTAAATCTTTTTGAGAACAGAAAGCCTCATCTTTCTCCCATGGAGGAGCTGGTGGTTCAAAGTGCCGACCTTGTGGTTCACAGTCTTGTGCTTATCCTATGACGCTACCGCATTCCTGACAATCTCTAGAATTGTGCTAACATGTTAGCCAATCACCACATGTGACTATTTAAATTGGAATTATTTAAAATCAACTACATAGGATTAAAAATCCACTTCCTCAGCCATATCACAAGTAAGTGCTTAATAGGTATATGTTCATAAAGTATGACCTCATTATTCCTAGGACAACCATAAATGAATAAGCCATTAAGAAACAGGTCACAAAACCAAGCAGGCATGAAAGTTAGGTGGGACAGTGGTGGCAATCTAGAAATATGTGCCTGACGGCATTACCTTTCTACCCAAGAGCAGAAAGAAAGGGAGTAAATGATACACATTATTCTATTGAATTTTCATCACAGTTTTGTAAAAAGGTACTGCTCCCATTCTATGGCTATGAAGTGAGTAAATACAGAAGATGACAAACAAGTAACTCCTCTCAGGTAGCACAGTGGAGTCAACAGTGAGTTAATGACAATGTTAGGACTAGACCCACTGCTTCTATCTTACTGTTCTCCCAGGATAGCTTAAAAATTGGAAAATCATTGGAAAACACAGAACACGGAGGGACAATTAAAACCCAGATCTAATTCCAAAACACTTCTTTCCTCTACAACAGTGGCTGCCAAGTTTATTTGATCATGTTCCCCTCAGTAAGCATCTTTGAGCATTATATAGAGTTGTTATTGCTAAGTGCCGTCTACATATTGAGATAGATATAAATCGATAGATGTAGGTCCGTTTGTTTATTTCTAAATTACATATACTATTATAACAATATTATGCTCACTATGAAACGTATTCATGATGACACATTTAGGGGGATAAAAACACATAGAGATTCTAATTATTTTTCTAGTATGACTCCCCGTACCCTCCTTGGGATGTTGCCTCCCCCTTGGAGACCACTGATCTAGACCCTGCCACACTCTAGAAGGAATATCTTGTGGAAAAACTCACAGGCTTGGCGATCTCAGCTTCCACTCGCCCATCAAAATCTCTCTGAAAAGAAGCATAATTGGGCCATAATGTATTCTGCACTGGCTACATTCTTGGAGTAACTAAGGCTTTTGCTATGTACCAGGGGTCTGACATTTGCCATCGACTCTTATTTCAGAAAGAGAAATAACTTTAAATTGCAATTCAAAGGTTGCTCCTGGTCATGTGTCCCAGGTGTGAAAGACACAGAAATGGACAAACAACACTTATATGCATTAAAAAGGTTCTTTCTGCCCAAGAGATAAAAACAAGTATTGTCACCTTCACTAAAACAAAGTGAGATTTGGTGAAACAGACCATTGAAAGGTGCTTTTTGCCCAAGAGATAAAAACAAGTATTGTCACCTTTACTCACGTAATTCAGGTTTTTAAATTTTGTATTGGTCTCTGAGTACGGTGATAATGGTATTCCTTACAGAAAGCTCTTTAGCTTATGTTGGATTCTCTCTTAGATGTGGTTTCTCTCCTCTGTCTTTCTGCCCAAGCTGTGGGAGAACAGGGATATCATTTCATTATCTTTCCTTTACAGTTGGTTTAGGAACCTGCTTGAGAGTTTGTCATATATAGTAAATGGTAAAGCCAGGATTTAACCCCAGCTTTTCTGCTCCTGAGTTAGTACTTAGAGAGAAGTTTTAACTAATCAAGCTGACATTAGGGGGTCTCTGGGTAGTGCAAAAGGTACACATGCTCAACTACTAACCAAAGGATTAGAGGTTCAAGGCCACTCAGAGGTACCTTGAGAAAATGACCTGAAGCACTATTTCAAAAGGATGAGTCATTGAAAACCCTGTGGAGCACAGTTTTACTTTGACGCACATGGTGTCACCATGAGTTGTAATTGACTCAGAGACTTCTGGTTAGCTGAGTAGTCAGCATTAGGTAGTTGGGAGAGCAGACTCTCTAGTTCTAAGCACCACTGTGGGTCCAAGCACCTCTACAATCAAAGTATCAACTCAGCTTCATCTTACACTGCAATATTAGCAGGGCTTTACATAAATGTACTAGCTGAAGAGCAAATGTAGGAATGTCCTCTACTGAGCCAGAAGGACTAAAGTCTCTAGAAAAGGCCCGGAACTGTACAAAGTGCCTGAAGGGATATTCAGAGCCAGCAAAGTAACATACACAAATCACCTCACAGAGTTTTGAAAGCTGGTCAGTGGGTTCTTCTGAGGTGATATTTCTATGGGTTGAGTAGAGTCTTTATGACTGTTCATATACATTAGTAGTTATTGTTAACTGCCATCAAACCAGTTCTGACTCAGAGAGACCCTGTATAGGATTTCCGAGGAGCAGCTGGTGGGTTTGAACTGCCACCTTGCAGTTCAAATCGACCTTGTGGTCCAGTACTTATCCTACAATGACACACCATGACACCATGACACTTCATTTTTAGGTAGTGTTGTTGTTGTTATGTGCCGTG